AGGGATGTGTCATTGGCAATAAAGATCAAGACCATTCTTGCCATAGTATTCCCCATTACTACGTACAGGTATGAAAGTTGGCAAGTGAAGGAAGCTGTCAGATATGAAAGTTGATTCATTTGAAATGTGGTGTTGGAGGAGAGTTTTACAGATACCGAGGACCTCCAAAAAGACAAGGGGTTTCTACATTGAATCAAGTCTGAACTCTCCCTAGAAGCTAAAATAACTAAACTAAGGCTATCATACTTTGGCCACATTCTGGGAAGACCAGAGTCACTGGAAAAGACAATCATAGGAAAAGTGGGAGGTAGGAGGAAAAGAGGAGGACCCGACAGGAGATGGATGGGCTCAGTCAAGGGAGCCCCAGGAGCCCCTCGGTTTGCAGGACCTGACCCAGGCTGTCAATGAGAGGACGCTTTGGAGGTTGTTGATTCACAGGGTCGCCACAACGCAGAAGCCACACAGACACACAGAATCCCAGTGTAATACTAAACAGAGCTATACCCTTCTAAGCCTGTTGATTTTGAAGGGGTAATTCTGCTTCGGACTGCACCATTAGCGTTCGCCTTCCCCCAACACATCTGGCAGTGGGCCTATCCGACCAGTACTGTACTTTGCACTCCTTCTTGGGCAGAGGACTAGAATAGATTCCTTTCCATGGGCAACACCCAGTGCTCTCGTATCTGCATGTGGGGAGGCAGATGAACTTTGTGACCCGTGCACACAAGGTTCCCAGTCCTGTGCTGGCAACAACCCTGTTTCCCCGAAAATAAGACCTACCCAAAAAATAAGCCCTAGCAGGATTTCTATGCATTTGTGGTATAAGCCCTAGTGTGTTTTCTTGAGAAAAAAATAAATATAAGACAGTCTCTTATTTTCGGGAAAACACGGTAGTAGGAAAATTAGGGAGTGGGGATACCCAAACAGGCATCACACCGATGCCGCGGTATAACTTCTGGTGCGAAGCTGTAAGTGACATCATCATTGCATTGCCATGACACGGTAGGATTCCACCCTATGCTATGACATCACTTCCGGGTTCATGCTGGAAGTGACAAACACAGCATCCGCTCAGTGCCTGTTCTCCCCTCCCCCTTCCCCCGTTGCTGCTCTACTGAGCAGCTTCAGAGTACAGAGGGCAGCCAGGCAGGATGTGTGTGTCTCCGCCCCCCCCCCCGGGAACAGCCCCCCCAGCAGCCCTCAAACTGCAGCAGGTGAGCAGGTTGCCTTTTCCTCTCTCACAAAATTTTTCTAATTTTTCTGCATTACTTTGTACAGACTCCTGAGCTTTGTGCTTGTAACGAATGTATTATATTTAGTAATTATTTGATATAATTGTCCCGCTTCTATACATAACTTCCTACACAAAGATGTGAGTAATTTTTCCCCAGTTATTCCCTATAGTATTGTTAGCTGGGATTACGAAAAAAGTTAGAAAGTATATGATTTATGTCAAATAAAACAAAGGTATCTGTCAAGAGACTTCAGGCCCAGACCTCCAAACCAGGGTGGGGGTCTCTACGTGGGGGCTGGTCAAAGCGAGACCAACAAACAAACAGGACTGAAGTGTGGGTCCCTCCACCCCAAGGTAGAGCTCCCTCCAGTCCCCTTCTTCTGTCCTGACAAGGTCTCAGGCCCTCCTGGAACTGAAGTCAAGAAAGTCACCCTTGCAGGGCGAGACACCTTCAAGGCAAGTTACAAAAACAATTACTCCGGTAGCTATAGCCAGTGAGGGCTGAAGTACTGGATTCAGACTGAAGCCTCCTGAATTTCAAGACCTCCACAAGACCTCCACAAGAATACGAATTAAGTGAATTATTTGAAATTGTGCAGAAATCGTCAAGACAGAACAGTGAACCGTGAGGCTAAAATAACAAAGCTAAAAATCTGTCTAAGCACTTATGCAAACGATGGCTCAGGGTTTCAGATATACCCCAAGAGCGGACTGAGGTCTTCAAGGTGCCAAGCTTCAAAGTCCAAGGCAAGGTTTCTGGTCAGTAAGACCCACCAAACCAGACAACGGCACCCAGGCAAATCCAAGCACAGGGCCAGTCAAGAGCAAGTGCCTGTGGCCCGACGCAATGGTCAACACAACAGCCTGTAGCCATGGCTTTACTGCCCGACACACCGTGGCATGTAGCACTGTGACGCCCCCCTCTGGCCGACGTTGACTGACCCCCGGTCGCCGCCCTGGATAAATGGGCTCCGAACAACCTGCTTTACTCGGCGTCTTCTCTGACGTGGTACCGTGTCCACTGCTGGTCGGGTGGGCCCTTCAGGCCCAGGTTGAGGGACAAGGCAAGGAGGAGGAAGGCCTAAGAATGTGGGACTCTTGGAGGGGTTACTTCACCCCTTTGGCCACCTGGATCTTAGCTGCATTCAGACCCTAGGTCAGACACACTCTCTCTGTGCTCTCCTGCTCGCCAGACCAGCCACCTCCTCCCCGGCCATCTCCGTCCTTCCCTTTTTATCCTTTCCTTGGCTCTCCTCTCCTTTTCCTTGTTAAGGCCCCGCCCCCACTTAAAGATCTTGACGCTGAGCTGGGGCGGCCCCACCCAGCCCTGCCAACCTCCATCGGCTCCGGGCTGCCGGCTGACTCCCTCCCTGGCTCTCCCTGCTGCTCGCGGGGCTGCCTCCGCACACCATCTCTACGTGCGGGCGGGCCCTCGGTATGCCAGACTTCCTCCCGCTGCCGAGCCTGAGCTCGTCCTGCCGCACTCCCCGGCCCTTGCTGCAGCCCTGCTGCTGACTCCGGGAGGCGGTGAGCCATCGCCTCAGACCCCGGAGCCTCCGTCTCTGCGCTGCTGTGCTCACTCGCTTCCCCGCCGTCTCTCCGTCTCCCCTTTGCTGCGGTAAGCTTGAGTCTGGTCGTGTGCTCTCCTCGGGGTTCCTGCGCGTCTTTCATTGGCCCCTCCCGGAGCTTCTGGCTGGAACCGGGACAAGCACCACACACAATGACTTGCAGCTCTCCTAGCTGATAGCCATCACTATGGCTTTTCCACAGCCCTCCTATCTGGTAGCAACAAACCATAATTAAAACTTTTACTTTATGGTCCAGGGCCATTATAAGGAGCTGCGATGGCTCAAGTGGTTAAGACGCTGAACTGCAGGCTGTGGAAGGTCAGTAGTTCAGCAGTTCGAGACCTGAGTGTGCCGCATGATGGAGTGAGCTCCCGTCTCTAGTTCCAGCTCTTGCCAACCTAGCAGTTCGAAAGCAAGACATTGCAAGTAGATAAATAGGTACCACTTCGGAGGGAAGGTAACAGTGTTCCGTGTGCCTTGGTGTTTAGTCATGCCAGCCACATGACCACGGAAACGTCTTCGGACAGCGCTGGCTCTTTGGCTTTGAAATGGAGATGAGCACCGCAACCCTAGAGTCGGACTCGACTGGCTTTCGAGCAAGGGAACCTTTACCGTTACCAGGGCCAGTGTTGGCCTGGTTCTAATTAGCCAATCAGGTGTAGGGCAAATGATGTAACCCAACTACCAGACTCGTGATGATCTGACCAATCAAAGGGGCCTGTCAGTTAACCAGACATTCTGCAGGTGCATTGGGTTCAAATGAACAGACCTCTCCCTCCCATCCATGATCTCAGGCAATAAGGAGACGTAGTGCACCCTCCCCTCCCTCGTGTCCTTGGTGGTCCCAGAGGCCTAATGGAATGACCTGCAGTTGGTTCACCATCTGTCTTATCTATGTCTCCGAGGCTCCTAACAGCTTACTTTGTTTCAGAGGAAAAACCTTTCTTCTATAAGGCCACTTTACCAGGCCATTTTACTAGGCCAAAAGCCTGAACCAGTGTTGAAAATGTGAACAAGAAGCTGCATAGGAAAACCAGTTTCTTGACACTATCGGCAGCTTTCCCAAAATCGTGATGTTAGTTTTATTGTCACATGTTTAGCACTGTAGTCGAAAAGCTCCAGCATAACAAACTGCAATGTAAGCATGGGAAACGTCACAAACTGCATCTGTTTTTGATCCTCAGATGAGGCAGCAGCTGTTGAATAAATAACATTGGCTGTGCGCCGGCATTTCTCTTTTCCTTCTCTGGGAGGAGGCAAAGGATTAGGCGAAAGACGAGCAGCAGCTGATGGCTGATGGCTCCTGAACGTTGTCCCCGTTTGTGCTGAGGCCTTTTCCATTGTGGGGGTGGGCCGCCATCGCAGAGCGGGACACGTGCAAGACCAGTGTCTTTGGGCAAGCCTGACAGTCAGCGGGCACCAGAGGAAGGTGCCGTGGAATGGAAGACCTCCTCTGCCGCTGCAGAAGAGAGGATGGAATGGAAGCAGGGCTCAGGATCCAGGCTGAAGTCTTGGGCGTAGATCCTCCAGATCCGTTGCATTAAGGATGGCATCTGTCCCTGATAGAATAGGAATGTTTCCCTGGTGCAAGAGGCTTTTTGAAAGCCCCCTTCATTGTTGTGAGTGTAGCTGGATTCAGGGGAATGTAGCAAGCGGGCCAGGGGTTCAGATCTATGTGAACTGACTCCTTTTAAATGTGCTGATAATAATATAAAGAAGATAACATTTTTTAAAAAATTGTTATTCTTTTTTAAAATAGGTTTTTATTGATTGTCTACAAAGAGAGAGACAAACATAACCGTATACAAGACAGACTAACACAAAACAAACAAAAAGCATGTACTCATTGTAACTAATTTTGTTTTACATAGATAATATCCTTCTTATATGCACCTAAACAAGTTTAATAATATATATATGCCAGGAAATACTTTAATCAATGAAGTATATAGTTATATTGTGCATCTTTGCAGATACACCACAATCCATTCATAAAATCTTGACCATGTTTTTTCAAAGATTTCTTCTCGTTTATCTTGTAGTTGTAAAGTCAGTTTGTCCGTCTCTGCCGTTTCTAACAGTTTGTAGATTATTTCTTCTTTTGATGGAACTTTTTCTTTCCACCAATATTTCCTCCAAAATACTAAAAAATGGTTATTCGATGAGGCATCTGTTTGACATGGTCTTCTTTTGTTTAGAGTATGAAGGCTCTGGAGCAGACGTTCACAGGAAACATTCCAAGTGTGGGGTCTGCAAATATAGGGCTGAGTGTGATGAAGATGCAGAAAATGTCGGGTAAGTAGAAAGCTTCTCTCAGAGGCTGATAACGCAGACATTTAAAGGCTGTGTTTGAACGTTTTTAAATCCTTCAAAACTGAGATAGAGTTTAATATAATGTACGTTGTGAGGCTGGTATGTACCATATGTATTCTGCTAAAAGCTTTTACAAATGGGCTATGTGTCACTGTCATAAAAATATTCTAGTTTAGTTTAGCTGATCCTCCAGAGTCCAGTTTGGAAGACTGGACCTCACATGACCTCACATTGTTCCTGTTTCATGCTTAACCATTGTTTGACATGACCTCCAAATGGGCCAACTAGTGGTTGCCTTTAACCCCAAATCAGAAGTCAATGCAATCGGAATAATTTCTGATTTAAGTTTGGAAGGCAAAGCACTAACCATAGCTTGCTGATTCAGACATCATGGCAAACTGCTGGTGTTGGTGCAAACCAGGGAAGGGAAGTCACAAGGAAGCGTGCAGTTTGAGGGCTTGTCTGCACTGAGTGTCTGTTTCAATCATAATACTAGTTCTTTCCTTTGAAGAAAGTCTTCAGAACAAAGCAGTCCTGACAAAACAGAGCTTTTAGAACAGCTCATCTAATTTTTTTTTTAACCAGTATGTGGAATGGCATTATTTGCAACTAGTGCTTTAAATTGAGGCGAGGAAGGAGTTGGTATTAGCCTTTATTCTTCTGGGGCCCAATAACAAACTGTTTGGCTTTCTCTGCCTCTTAGGACTAATTCACACATGCATGTACATAGCTTGATCTCTTATTGGGTGATGACTCAAAGTTGATGGAGTAAACTAGTTAAATTGAAAAAGATTGGCATGGTTCACAGAAGTGAAACTGAGGGATTCTTGGGCTTGTGTATTCCTTCTCTCCTCCCTCCGCCTCTTGTGCATGGCTCAGCGATCAGATGCTTCAGCAGCAAACCATAGTTTGTCCTTATATTCAGACCACAAATTATGGCTTGTTCTGTTCCTTCCTCCAAACTAGGATTCCAAGCTCTGATGTGAGCCTAGTTTGGAGGGAAGAGAACAAATGACAGATTTGAATCCCATGGAGTTCATGTGTAAGGATATTCATGGTATAGTTCCTTTCTGCCCTCTCACCAGCAGTCCCTTGAGATCTTCTAATATCGATGCTGGAGGCTGCCAAACTCATATGGACAAAAAGCTACATGGTCTGGGGGCTGCAATGAAGAAGGGGAACCAACCAAAATCTCTGTCCCCTTCCTCTTCCACAGTCTCATTCATGTAACAGTAAATCAGCATTTCAGGGGACTAATGGGCAGTTGTGATGTCTCAGTGGAGCCACTTTGTTTCAGCTATGGTGATTAGTTTCGGATTCACACAGCATTTTTTACTGGAACTACATGCCAGAGAAACCCAAGCAAATTAATGTTTACTCCCAGGGCTTTTTTTGTAGAAAAAGCCCAGCAGGAACTCATTAGCATATTAGGCCACACCCCTGACAGCACAGCTCATTCACATATTAGGCCACACCCCCATGTTACCAGAAGTGTGGTCATCCAGCCACACCCACCTTTTGCTTCTTATTCTGTTTACCTTGTTTGTTGTCAAAACCCAGGGCTTTTTGTTTGGAGCAGGAACTCCTTTGTATGTTAGGCCACACCCCCTAATTGTAGCCAATCCTAATGAGTTTCTGCTGTTAGGTGTGGCCTATTATGTTAATGAGTTCACTGGGCGTGGCCAACTTGGGAGCCAGCCGGAACTCCGTTCCTGTCCGTTCCTGCCCCAAAATAGCCCTGTTTACTCCTATCTGTAGTCACTATTTGGGGCCAAATGGCCTTCTCACTTGTGGTACAAAATAGCCAACTATGAAATATGCTCAAAGTCAAAGTGGTCTATGGGGAAGAGTTAGTGGAGGCTCCGGCATCAAATTTCTAGCCCAATGTGTGGTGTTGTCTCTCTCCTTCCAGTGACCAGGCAAGAGGAATAGGGAAAATGTGTAGAAATGGCATTAATAGGAATTTGTTGACAGTAGACCATTTTGAGTTGGGGTTTAGGCATCCCAGCTGTCAGGCACTTCAATAACTCAGCATCAACAGCAGGTCCTTAAACAGGTTCAGCTTTATTGATCAGAGTAAGGTGAAGTCGACTTAGACTCTTTGAGTCAGGAATGAGGCATACAAAATGGCAATCGTCATTATAGTGGGTTCATCCAATACCCCCTGACACCTAAAAGCCAATAAGCAATTAGTGCGGAGTGCGGGGAACTGTTCAACGGTTCAGGGGTGGCTTCGTGCTGAAGCAATGCGTGCTCAAGGCCAACGGGCAGATAAGGAACAGAAGTGAAATGCAGCTGCAGAGCACCACACATTCCAGAGACAGGGAAGGAAAAAAAACCATGGCAGGACTACCCGACATCCCGCCCCCCCAAGTCCCCCCCCGGCTTGTTGGGGAAGCGAGAGTAGAAGAGGCGGACCAAGTGAGGAGCCCGCACATAAGAAGCTTTAACCCATTCCCTGTGTTCAGGACCAAAATCAACCCATTCAACCAGATAATACAAGCGGTTTTGTTTAAAGCGAGAGTCAAGTTCTTAGTGGAGACACACACCTTGTCCCCAACCTGCACCTCCCAAGTCAGGAGATACTTACGGCCAGCCTGGGCTTTATAGGCAGCCTTGGCTTTGATCAAAGTCTGTTGTAGGAGCGGCCAGGCATCTTTAACCCGGCGCCACCAGTCTTCTACACCCCCCTCCCCTAGAGTGTCTGTGGGCAACCAGGGAAGGGGCGAACCTTTGTAGCCATGAACCACTTGAAAAGGGGAGACCCCTGTGGACGAATGTACTGCGTTGTTGTAACAATATTCTGCGTATGGGAGCAGCTCCGTCCAGTCATCCTGTTGAAAATTAGTGAAGCAACGCAAGAATTGCTCAAGGGTCTGATTAACCCATTCAGTCTGGCCGTCTGGGAAAAAATGTGCTTGCTTAGAAAACATATCTACAACCACCTAAATAGTTGTCTTCGCCCCCGCTAGGGGGCAAATCTGTGATGAAGTCCATAGACACAACTTCCCACGGCCGAGTAGGAGTCGGCAGAGGTTGCAGTAGTACCGGAGGCTTACCCGGGCGGGGTTTACACATGAGACAAGTGGGGCATGAGACAAGGAAATGTCTTTTCGCATGCCCGCCCACCAGAACTGCCTTTGTAAAAGGTGCAATGTTTTTAGATAGCCAAGATGACCCTCCAGTTTAGATCCATGGACTGCTGCCATCACCTGGACGCACAAGGTCCTGGGGATGAAGAGGTGATGGTCTTTATACCAACAGCCATCTTGCCTCTGTTCCAGACCCCCGTCCAACTCAATTTCTAAGCGATCAGAGTCAGAAAAGGCGGAGGCAAATTCAGTGGACCAGTCCCTCCCTCCTGCTTCCATTTCCACTTTCGCCTTACTACGTGTGATGACCGCCCCACCCAGTTGGGCAGGAGTAAACATCAAGTCTTCCATGCCCTCCCTTTGACTGTTGTATTGTGGGAGGTGCAAAACGGCATCAGCTAGGGAGTTTGCCTTTCCCGGGAAGTGGTGAAGCGTGAATTGAAACTTTGAAAAGAAATCAGCCCACCTCAGCTGTTTGGCGTTAAGGTTACGGGGCGTGCTGAGGACTTCGAGGTTTTTATGATTAGTCCAAACCTCAAACGGCCCCCTCACCCCCTCCAACCAATGTCTCCAAGTAGACAGAGTGAGCCGGATGGCTCCAGCCTCCTTGTCCCAAACAGCCCAATTGCATTCAGTGGCATTAAACTTCCGCGAAACGTAAGCTAAGGGGTGCAGTTTACCATCCTTCCCCTCTTGCAGGATAGCCCCTCCCATGGCCACATCCAATGTGTCCACCTGCGCACTCAAGGCCAACGGGCAGATAAGGAGCAGAAGCGAAATGCAGCTGCAGAGCGCCACACATTCTAGAGACGGAAGGGAAAAAAACCATGGCAGGACTACCCGACGCCAGCTCCCAATCTGTGCTCAGAATTCCTCTCTGACAAAACTAGTTGCCCACCACAGCTGGGCTGGGGTTTAAAACACATTGGTGACCTGCCCCAAAACTTTGGGATGTGGCAGAATCTAAATCTAAATAAACTGCTTAAATCTCTCAGCAAAAAAGAGAGGCCACAAATGGGAAGGAAAGGGGGAGCATTCATCCTGAGAAAATTGTTGTGAGTGTCCTTAATAAGGATAGGCCAAGCAACACCTAACATTGCGGTAGTTTCTCTGAAACATGAGGGAAGGAAGGCAACCTCAGTTTATTATATTATTTATTTATGAAAGCTATACCCTGCGCTGCTCCCAAAAATGGGCTCAGGGAGGCTCACAACATAAAAGCAGCAACAGTAAGAACAATAAAACAATGAATAACAATTGCCGATCAACCAAACCCGTACATTATAACATAATTACCCTAAGCTCCAGTGTCCAGATGGTGTGCAGAAACAGGAGGGTACTGGAAAAGGAGTAAAAAAGAGTGCTGTGGACAGGACCGTGGGGCTGGAATAGACAGAACTCACACCACCTCAACCAGGG